GTGCTCAGGGTCGGGTTTCCTGCGAGGGTTTCTTGCGGCCGCGCCCGCACTGTATGCTTCGGGGGGTCATTTGCCTCCCCGATCCGTGGATCTGGCGCTCGCGCGCCGGATCCACAGGCCCACAATCCGTGTTATCGGAGGCAGATGGACCTCCTACCCTGACACGTCGATGAAGGGACTGGCCGTCTTCGGCTCGCGGGAGGGCGTCGCGGCCGTCTTTTTTGTGGGTCCAGGTCCGTCGGCTTCGGTCCTGTAGGCAGTTTGCACCAAGGGGAGGTTTACTAAAGGGAGGTTTGTCCACCGCCGATGTCAGCGCGCGTGCCCGAGCCACGTCCGAGCACTCGAGTAGGGGATCTACTACAGAATGGATTTACCCCGAACCGGAATTCACCTGTTCGTCGAATCTACGAACAATCCGTATAAGGATCGTATACCTGCGAACCTTCTGTGAAGTTGCTGTACATTCTACGGAAAAACACAATTCTGAGGTAACTCTACGCTGTAGAGCACTGCCCCCGCCCCGCCCGACGCTCCACCGGCCTCCGGCGCCCGACCGACGTTCCCCCCGCCTCCGCCCACGCCCCGCCCGCCCCGCGCCCCTCCCGACGCTCCGCGCCCGACGCTCGCCTCCCGACGCCCGCGCCCCGCCCCGCCCCCCGCTCGCCTCCGCCCGACGCCCCCGCCCGACGCTGCGGAGCGCTGCCCGCGCGCCCCGCCCGGCGTGCCGCCCGGCCGCCGGCGCCCGAGGCTGCCCGCGCCCCGCCCGACGTGTCACCCCCAGACCCCCTCGAGTTATGAAAAAATCACGACGGGAGGTTTTTCACTATTTTTGGCCTCTGGGGGGCCTTACCGGCCCTCGGGACCGTCAAAAAACTACTCAGGACGAAAAACCGGTCCCGGGGAATGGGTCGAGACCTCGGGGGGTCGACGTCGTGAAAAAATCATGACGTCGGGGGTCTGGGCCCGTCGGTGCTCTTCGGCCGGGCCGCCTTCGCTCGGGTCGCGGCCCAGAGGGGGGGATGGGGACTAGGCTTTAAGTCGGACCCGTCCCTCTGCAGGAGGCATGTTCAAAAGTAGTCAAAAGATAGTCTGGCTCAAGTCGGACCTGTCCCACTGCAGGAGGAATGTTCAAAAGTGGTAGAAAAATAGGATGGGGACTATTTTTTCCCACTTTTCCTTACCTGGGGGGCATCTTGTGAGTATTTTTTTGTTTCGCGCAAAATCCCCCTGTAGGGGGACACGCCCGACTTAAGACTATGGGGGGTGGATATCATGGCTCATGAGCGCAAGAGAGACGTACGTCAGCATCGTTTAAGCGATCCTCATCCCCATCCCCATCCCCTTCGAGACCCCACCAAATTACCACCCCAGTTGGGGATACGCCCCTCGAAACCCGAAGGGAACGGCCTATATGCGCATCTAGGGGGGGCAAATCGGCCGATCGGGCCCAGGCCACGCCGCTGGGGATGGGGATCGGTTAAACGATATTCAGTACCCGTACATGAATCCACGTTGGTTTCGAACGTACGCATTGCGCGAAGTTTCGTATTGCGCGGCCGGTCTGGCGGATTGGGGTGCCGTGTTCATGTGCGTGGTTGGGCGCGTACGTCTCTGGTGGGCTCCCTAATGGCGGTGGCCATGATATCTCTCCAGATTTCACGGCGAATCCCGGGCGTCCAAGAGAGGGGCGTCCGGGAGGCCCAGACATGATCGCGTCGTAAAGAGATCATGACGGCGAGTGTTTCGCTATTTTCGGCCCCTGGGGGCCCTTCCCGGGCCCCGGGACCGTCGAACAACGACTCAGGATGAAAAGTTGTTCCGGGGAAAGGGCCTCGACTTCGGGACGCCGTCCTGAAAAAAGCAGGACGCCGCATGTCTGGGCAGCGATGCCCAGGCGAGCTGCCCTGCTCAGGGCTGTGGAGGAGCATCCGCAGACGCCAGCTGCACTGGCGGCCTCCCGCGCCGTGAGGTGCCCTGCACCCCCATTGCCAGAGGGTGCGGGGGCCCCCCCCCCCCCCCCTCCTCTCCTCCTCCTCCTCTCCTCCTCCTCCTCCTCCTCCTCCTCCTCTCCTCCTCCTCCTCCTCCTCCTCCTCCTCCTCCTCCTCCTCCTCTCCTCCTCCTCCTCCTCCCTCCTCCTCCTCCCTCCTACTCCTCCTCCCCCTCCTCCTCCTCCGCCTCCTCCTCCTCCTCGAAGAGGGGCGTCCTCGTGGCTCTCCGAGCCGAGCGAGGGGTGCCGTTTTGAGCCGGCGCGCGGGGCGCGCCAGGGATGCAAGCATCCCCAGGAGCGGGAGGGCGGGGCGAAGGCGCGCGCGCGCCGCCCGCGACGGCAGGACGCAGGCGCCGATGTTCACAGGACGCAGGCGCCGTCCGCGGCGGCAGGACGCAGGCGCCGCCCGCCGCGGCAGGACGGCAGGACACGCACTGCCTGCAGCCCCGCGCGACCCCGACGGCGCGCCGCGAGCCGCCCCGACGGGATCCCCGCGGCGCGCCAGCACGGAGCACGCACCGCGATGCAAGCAGAGGGGCAAGCGGCGAAGGCGCGCGCGCGCGCCGCGCGCCCACGCCGCGCGCGCGCGAGGCCTTCTCGCGGGGCCGCGCACAGCGAAGCGCGTGCCGCCACCGCGCGCGCGCGGATTCTTTCTCGTGGGGCCGCGCGCGGCGATGCACATGCCGATGCCCCTCCCTCCGCGCGGGCGAGCCCTCCGCGTGGGGCCGCGCGCCGCGAGGCGCAGGAGAGCGGGAGGCGGCCCGTGCGCACAGCTCGCCCGGCTGCGCACAGCGCAGGTCAAGTGCGCGCGCGCTTTCGATGGCGTTGGGCGCCCGCAAAAAAAAATTGGGACGCCGTCGTACCCCCCCAGATGGGGAGGATGGAGGGGGATGGGCAGGGGAAGGAGGGAGGAAGAAGAGGAGGAGGAGGAGGAGTAGGAGGAGGAGGAGGAGGAACAGGAGAAGGAGGAGGAGGAGGACGACGACGACGAGGGCGAGGAGGACGATGAGGAACAGGAGGAGGAGGACGAGGAGGAGGAGGAGGAGGAGGAGGAGGAGGGGGAGGAGGGGGAGGAGGAGGAGGAGGAGAAGGAGGAGGAGGAGGAGGAGGAGAAGGAGGAGGAGCAGGAGGAGGGGAGGATGACAAGGAGGAACAGGCGGATGATGATGATGATGATGATGATGATGATGATGATGATGATGATGATGATGATGATGTTGATGATGATGATGGTGGTGATGGTGATGGTGATGGTGATGGTGATGGTGATGGTGATGGTGATGGTGATGGTGATGGTGATGGTGATGGTGATGGTGATGGTGATGGTGATGGTGATGTTATTGATGATGATGATGCTGATGATGCTGAGAATGATAATGCTGAGTTTGATGCTGATGCTGATGGTGACGCTGATGTTGATGATGATAGTGGTGCTGCTGCTGATGATGATGATGATTATGATGATGGTGATTATGATGATGCTGAATATGATAATGGTGATGATGATGATGCTTATGATGATGATGATGATGATGATGATGATGATGATGATGATGATGATGATGATGATGATGCTGATGATGATGATGATGATGATGATGCAGCTGTCGTTGATGATGATTGTGATGATGCTGATGATGATGCTGATGGTGGTGGTGGTGGTGATGAGACTGGTAATGGTGATGATGCTGAGGACGATTATGATGATGAGTTCTGATGTTGTTGATGATGATGATGATGGTGGCTGTGGTGATGCTGCTGCTGATGATGATGATGACGACGACCATGATCATGATCATGATCATGATCATGAGGAGGAGGAGGAGGAGGAGGAGGAGGAGGAGGAGGAGGAGGAGGAGGAGGGAGGAGGCGGACGAGACGATGAGGAGGGGCGAGCAGACAAGGCCAGCAGCTTTTGGGATGTCTCTTCGGATGTCTCTTATTTTTTAGGTATCATGGGCGTCTTGGGGGCCTCTTTGCGGTCCGGGGGGGGCACTTGCAGCGGCTTACCTCGGAGGGGGCCTCTTGCGACCTCCTGGGGGTCTCACCTCGAGGGTGCCTCTTGCGGCCTCCTGGGCGCCTTTTTGGGCACTCTTGGGATCCTTGGGGGCCATCTTGGAGAAGCTCTGTACTGGATTAGCGCCCCCCCCCTCCAGGGAGGCCAAACTGGGTACAAACCGACGGAAAATCATTGATTTGTGCCTTCTCGCTGGTGCCGTCTTGGATTCTCCAATCGGTCGCGGGCCTCGTCCAGGTGGAGGGGTAGGGGGAGGGATACACCCCTCCGCGAAGGGGAAGGAGGGGAGATGGAAGAGGAAGCGCCCTCAACCACCTACGCCTCAAATGGCTGGTGGGATTCCTGAAATGGGGCCAAGGGTTATCTCAGAGGGCGGAAGGGGCCTCCGAGACGCCCCATTGCCTGGCTCCTCGAACGGAGACCTGCTGTAAACCCGTTCCGCCTCCTCCTCCTCCACTTCCTCCTCCTCCTCCTCCTCTTCCTCCTCCTCCTCCTCCCTCCTCCTCCTCCTCCTCCTCTCCTCTCTCCTCTCCTCCTCCTCCTCCTCCTCCTCCTCCTCCTCCTCCCCCTCCTCTTCCTCCTCCTCCTCCTCCTCCTCCTCCTCCTCCTCCTCCTCCTCCTCCTCGGCCCATGAGATTGCCCCTGCTCCCGTTCGTCGGCTACGCGGCTTGGTCAGCCTGGTGGTCCTCCTCCTTCTCCCACTCGTCCTCCTCCTCCTGCTCCCCCTCGCGGCGGCGCGCCAACGTGGGGAGTGAGAGGGGGCAGGCAGTCCCAGCAGAAGGCGGGAGGATTTTCTTATCTTGGGGGGAAAGCCCACCCATCTGCCGCTACACAACCAAAACAGCACCAATGCGCAGCAGAATAATAAACATAGCCGTTATCGCCGGTCCAGAAAGCAGCGCGGACCTCCGAGCGCGCATGGTCATGCAGATTTTTAGCATTCGAGATTCCACCCTTCCCCTTGTCGCTATGTCTTCCCTCCACCCCCAGAGGAGATGGAGCTCGTCGACATCGCCGTGCACGGGATCATCGAGGATGACGCGGTTTCCCAGCAGGCGTCCGCCGAGGAGCCGCGCGGTGCGGTGCTGGATTGCCCTGGCCCTTGGCCCCGACATGTGGAGGGTGGAAAGGAGATGGAGGATGGATGGGGGGAAGAGGAGGAGGATGGAGTAGGATGGAGGTGGATGGAGGATGATGGAGGATAGAGGAAGCATGGAGCCGTGGAAAACAGAGAAGCGAGCCCGCGCGAGAGGACTGTCTCAAACGAGAGCACTGCAGCATCGCAGAACGGGCCGCCCTCCTCCCCGACACGGGGAGACCATCCTCCTCACGTGCATGGGAGGCCGCTCGCTCATCGGCGAGGAGCTCACGCAACGCGGTCTACTCATGCGTGATGGCGGTGGTGCGTAAGGGGGACGGTCGGTTCACCTCCTCATTATGAGGTCCTTCCCGATTATCAGCCCGTGCCACAACATGTGACACGTGCAACTGGGTTACCCTACGCCGAGTGGGCACGAAGGCCACGTGGGACTTGTGGACCACACGGCCCCGCCACTCCACCAAACGCACGATCCCCGCGCCAGGAAGCTCGAGGTGGATCCAGCGTCGCCGGCGTGTGCCGCGGCCTTGGGCAAGGCGCCGCGGGGCGGGGCCCAATAAGATAGGAGAGGCTGGCATGCTGACGCCAAACCGTGCAGCGTAAATGGGATTGTCCTTGTCCCCGTGGCGAAGGGCCTAACGCCAGGACCCCCCGCCGCGAGGATGGAGAATAGAAGAGGGGGAAGAGGAGGAGGAGCAGGACGGAGGTGAACTGACGGGGAGGATGGGGGGAGGAGGAGGAGGATGAGGAGGAAAAGGGGGAGAGGAGAAGGAGGACGAGGAAGAGGAGGAGGAGGAGGAGGCGGCGGAGGAGGAGGAGGAGGAAGCGGAGGAGGAGGATGAGAAGGAGGAGGACGAGGATGAGAAGGAAGAGGAGGAGGCGGAGGAGGAGGAGGAGGAAAAGGATGAGGAGGAGCGGGAAGATGAAGAGGAGGAGGAAGAGGAGGAAACATACGTGGAAAACGAAGAGGAAACATGAAACGTAAGACGAGAAGTCATACTGGGCTGTAGAACAGAAAGAAAAGGCTCACGAAGAGGAATAGAAAGAGGAAGCCGAAGATGAATATTAACAACAAGAAACATATGGATATTACGATGATGAAGAACATGAGGGGTAATACGATTTCTACTACATAAAATTGTAGCCTAGAGGTGGGGAAAAGCAGGTCGCCAAAACACGAGTACACGTATACTGGGAAGTACGAGCGTCTATAATGACATGCAGAAACAAAAAGAAGGTGAGTGCTCACAAAACCAGTAATGAGAAGAGTGCGAAAAACTATATTCAGGCGAAAGAAGGCACACCACAGTAGCAACACAAGGTAATACTACCACTACGACTACTACTGCTACTAAGAGTAATACTACTACGATTGCGAAGGGAGTAAACAATTATGAGTCATCGCATTTACAATAGTAATACACATACGAATACTAGTATTTTTACTGCTGCTGCTACTATTACTACTACTACTACTACTACTACTACTACTACGACTGCTACTGCGACTACTACTACTACTACTACTACTACTACTACTACTATTACTGCTACTACTACGACTGCTATTACTACTTATTATTCGCCTTCTTCTTCTTCTTCTACTACTACTACTTATTATTCGCCTTCTTCTTCTTCTTCTACTACTACTGATACTACTACTACTACTACTACTACTACTACTACTACTACCATGACTACTACTACTACTACCATGACTACTACTACTACTACTACGACTACTACTACTACTACTACTACTACTACTACGACCACTACTCTTGTTACTATTTCTACTACTACTTCTACTTCTACTACTACTGCTACCACTACTACTACTAGTACTACTACTGCTATTGCTACTACTACTACTACTACTACTGCTACTTCTACTACTACTACTACTACTACTACCACTACTATCACCACTAGTACTACTACTACCACGACTACTACAACGACGACGACGACTAGTAGTAGTAGTAGTAGTAGTATTTTTACTACTGCTACTGATACTACTACTACTACTACTACTACTACTACTACTACGACTACTACTACTACGACTACTACTACTACTACTACTACTACTACTACTCCGACCCTTACACTTATATCAGTTATTACACTTACTACTTTTACTACTTTTACTACTACTACTACTACTACTACTACTACTAGTAGTACTACTATTAGTACTACTACAACAACTACTACTACTACTACCACTACTACTACTACTACTACTACTACTACTACTACTACTACTACTACTTCTTCTTCTACTACTACTACTACTACACTACTACTACTACTACTACTGACTACTACTACTACTACTACTACTACTACTACTACTACTACTACTACTACTACTACTACTACTACTACTACTACTACTACTACTACTACTACTACTAGTCTACTACTACTACTACTACTACTACTACTACTACTACTACTACTACTACTACTACTACTACTACTACTACTACTACTACTACTACTACTACTACTACTACTACTACTACTACTACTACTACTACTACTACTACTACTACTACTACTACTACTACTACTACTACTACTACTACTACTACTACTACTACTACTACTACCACTACTACTACTACTACTACTACTACTACTACTACTACTACTACTACTACTACTACTACTACGACGACGACGACGACGACGACGACGACGACTACGACTTCTACTACTAATTCTATTGCGCTGGCCTTACGGCCTGTGCCGCCGACCCTGGAGGCATCGGCTCTCGAGGGAAGCGGGGGGGAGAGGGCGGGGAGGAGGAGGAGACGGAGGAGTGAAGGAGGAGGACCAGGTGGGAGGAGGAGCAAGAGGAGCATGAAGATGCGGAGGAGAAATGGAAAAGGTAGAGAAGGGGGAGCAGGAGTTAATGGATGGAGCAGGCAGGGACGACGAGCACGTGGGGGAGGACCAGTGAAAGCTGTCAGAGAGGGGTGAAGAAACAGGCGCAGATGATGCGGGAGGAGGTTTTCGGGGGCAGCTCTCGTTTCAGGGGACTACAACACTGGGGGCAGACAGTTCATGACATTTGTGAGTGCCTGGGGTCGCAGGAGGTGCGGCGGCGGATGTACGTGCGGTGGGGTATCCAGGGAAGGTCAGAGCTGGGAGCCATCGGCGCAGACATGGGGGCAGCGCTGCAGCGGGAGATACGATGTCGTGACTTCGTCCCATACAGGCTCTTGGGGGGCCTTCGAAAGTACGACGAGAATCCTTCCCGAACTTCGAAGCTGAAAGGTTGGATCCTCGATCCACTATGGAGGGCGGCGTAATGGACCTTGGCCGTCGCCCGATATCTTTCCCCGGGAGGGCGATGTATCTGACCGAAAACTCCCAGGAGGGCGGCGTATCTGACCCACGACCCCCCTCGCTACCCCCCTCGCTACTCCGCCTCGCTACCCCCTCCCGGCACCCCCCCCTCGCGCGGGGAAGGGAAGAAAGGGAAGGGGCTTCCCTTTGATTCAGAGGCGACATTGCGAATCCGGGAGGGCGATGTATCTGACCGAGAATCCCCAGGAGGGCGGCGTATCTGACCCAGGACCCCCTTCGCTACCCCCCCTGGCTACCCCCCCTCGCTACCCCCCCCGGGACCCCTCCCCCGCGCGGGGAAGGGAAGAAAGGGAAGGGGGTTCCCTCTGACCGAGGATCCCCGGGAGGGCGGCGTATCTGACCCAGGACCCCCTCGATACCCCCCCTCCTCCCCCCGCTAACCCCCCCCCCGCGCGGGGAAGGGAAGAAAGGGAAGGGGCTTCCCTGTGATTCAGAGACGACGAGGAAAAGGAACGGGACCCTCCCCCTTCCTCGCGCGGGGAAGGGAAGAAAGGGAAGGGGCTTCCCTTTGATTCAGAGACGACGAGGAAAAGGAAAGGGCCAAAAACGACGACGCTGCAGGGAAACGGGACAAAAGAACGACGAAGAAGAAGCAGCAAACAACAAAGCCGACAGGGTCGGCGGATTAGTATTACTACTATTGGCCAGTAAATACTGACACGACAACTGTTCATTAAAATGATAATAATACGAGTAGCCGTAATGATATTAACAATTTGATCATACCAGCACTACTACTACTACTACTACTACTACTACTACTACTACCACTACTACTCTTACTACTACTACTACTACTACTACTACTACTACTACTACTACTACTACTACTACTACTACTATTACTACGACTACTACTACTACTACTACTACTACTACTACTTACTACTAACTACTACTCAAACTCCTACTACTCAAACTACTACTACTAACTACTACTACTACTACGATCTACTACTACTACTACTACGACACTTCTTCGAGGGGCGACGGCTACTACTACTACTACTACTACTTCACTACTAACTACTACTACCACTACTACTACGACTACCTACTACTACTACTTCTACTACTCCGACTACTACTACTACTGCTACTACTACTACTACTACTACTACTACTACTACGACAACTACTTTCCATACTACTACTACTACTACTACTACTACTACTACTACTACTACTACTACTACTACTACTACTACTACTATTTCGACTACTACTCCTACTGCTACTACTACTGCTACTACTACTACTACTGCTACTACTACTACTACTACCACCACTACTACTACTACTACTACTACTACTACTACTACTACTACTACTACTACTGCTACCCCTACTACTACTACTATTACTCCTACTACTACTACTACTATTTCTATCAGTACTACTACTATTGCTACTACTAATACTATTACAATTACTACTACTATTACTACTACTACTACCACTACTACTACGACTACTTACTACTACTACTAAACGGCCACTACTACTACTACTACTACTAACTACTACTACTACTAAACTAAGTTACTACTACTACTACTACTACTACTACTACTACGACCCACTACTAAAACTACTACTACTACTACTAACTACTACTACTACTACTATCTACTCGATAACTACTACTCTACTACTACTACTACTAACTACTACTACTACTATTCCTATCTACGACTAGAACTACGCGTGCACTACTACTACTACTACTACTACTACTACTACTACTACTACTACTACTACTACTGTACTACTACTACTACTACTACTACTACTACTACTACTACTACTACTACTACTACTACTACTACTACTACTACTACTACTACTAGGCAACGGACCGGCCTCCAGGCCGGGGCCGGTCCGAACGGACCGGCCTCCAGGCCGGGAGTTTTCCGACGGTTACCCTTAAGGTGGTCCATGGAGTGTTCTGGCGGGAAACGAAATCCGACAAAAAATGTATTGAGCCGCCCACGTATGTGTTGCGCAACTTGCGGTTTGCTGCGCAACACATATGTGGGCAATGGCGGGATCCGGCCTGGAGGCCGGTCCGTGGACCCCCTGGCCTGGAGGCTGGTCCGTGGACTCCCTGGCCTGGAGGCTGGTCCGTGGGGCTGGGTGGGGGGAGACAAAGAAAGGGAAGGAGGATGAGGAGAGGGAAAGGGAGAAGGAGGTGGAGGAGATGATGCCATGCAAGTCTCTTCGATCTTTGATCTTCGAACTTCAATCTTTGATCTTCGAACGATGCTGGATCTTTGATCTTCCGACCCCCATCTCCACCCTCTCCAACCCCCTCCTACCCTTCATCTCCCCTCGTCCGCGTCCCACTCTCATCATCATCATCATCATCATCATCATCATCATCATCATCATCATCATCATCATCATCATCATCATCATCATCATCATCATCATCGTCATCGTCATCGTCATCGTCATCGTCATCGTCATCGTCATCATCATCATCATTATCATCATCATCGGCATGATGGTCATCATCATGACCATTAACGTCGTCCTCGTCACCGTCATCGTCGTCATCATTACCATCGTCAGCATAATCGCCGTCATCGTATTTGCCATCATCAGCATCATCGCATCATCATCATCATCATCATCATCATCATCATCATCATCATCATCATGCGCCGAAAATGGCGTGAGACCAGAGGGGGCCACCTTCGCTGGAGCTGAAGCTGACGCTCCCTGTGGGGCAGCATCCTCGTGAGAGGTATCGGGGGGGGCCGTTTCTGGCAGCCCCGCAGGAGGGCGCCGCAGGCAGGGGCCGCATCTGCGGGGCCGCGAGCCGACATCCGTGGCATCGCTCCGCCCAGAAGGGTGAGGAGGAGGGAGGAGGGAGGGGGGGAGGAGGGAGGAGGGAGGAGGCAGGACGTTGCAGGAGGGAGGATGGTGGAGGAGACGGGAGGAGGACCCGGAGGATGGTGGAGAAGAAGGAGGAGCACGCGGAGGATGTGGAGGATGAAGGACGGGAGCAGGGACGAGAGGAGTGGGGGGAAGGGGGCGGCGGGAAGAGTGTCCGGGAGGCCTTCCTCCATTTTCGATTGCCTCTCCTCTTCCGCCTCCTCCTCCTCCTCCTCCTTCATTCCCCCTCCCCCCGCGCCTTCTCTTCCTCCCCCCCTCGAGACGGAGTCCGTGGCACAGCTGTTGGCTCGCGGGCCCCGCGGCCGTCTTCTCCTCGGACGACAAGAGGCTGATGTACACGGGCCGCGGCAGGTCCTTCTCCGCCATGTCGAAGGGCAGCCACGGGGAGATCGGGTCGCCGATGCGGGTGGTCTCCGAAGACAGGGTGACCTGATATATATAGAGAGAGAGAGAGAAAGAAAAAAAAGAACTTAAGACATAAATGAAGAAAGAAGCAAAGGAAAGAGAGAAAGGAATCCGTACATAAAGAACAAAAATAGAAAGAGAGAAATACATAAAGAAATAAATACATAGATAAATGAATACACCAAAGAAAGCAGAGCCAAGGGCGCGAGCGAAACGGCTGCTTGTTCTTTGGGGGCGTGCTTTGTGTGTGCACCGCCCTCGTGCTGGCCTCGCCCCGCGGCAGAGGCAGGCAGGAGGGACGCACGGCAGCAGAAGCACGACAGCGTCCGAGGCCACGGCCTCGCTCGAGCCGCGAGCCCCGACACGGATCCCGTCCTCGGCGCTCCTCGGGCGCTCTCGTTGTGGCCCTCGGCGGCTCCCCCCCGGGTGGGGGGGGAGGGGGGCGTGCTCTCTCTCCGGCAGCCGCGTCTCGCCGAGGGGGCGCTCCGGGGCCGTCGACGAGCGCGTTCCACCACTCGGCAAGGTGCCCATAGGGCCTACCCGCAGATGGCCGGGATCCGCCGGGGGGGGGGGATCCACGAGGAGTGACGCCGAGGCAGACCCATGTGTTTTGCGAACGCCTGCGCGCAGGCGCTTGTGTGCGAGCAGCGGAACGCCCTCGGGGAGGGGTGGGTGATCCGAAGGCGCCAGACGTGCGTCCGTCGGCGACCACAGAGGCTGTGGCCACGCCGGGCTCTGGCCTGCGATCGGCGCCGTCGGGGCCCCCGGGGGGGCCACGGCGCTGTCCTCGCCGCCGGGCCTCCTCGGGGCGCGGCGGGGTGCGCCCCCCGGGGTGCCCCCCGGCTGCACACCGCGCCCTCCGCAGACCGCACCCCTCGGAGTCGCCGAGTCGCCGCAGGAGGGCTTCGCACCTCGCACAGGGCAGGCTCTCGCGTCGTGTGGGCCGGCGGCGATGGCCGCCGCCGGCCTGCAGCGCCGCACGACCGCCGGCGGCGGCCCGGCATCGGCCGACGTGGAGCCAGCGGGCGTCGATGGCGGAGGCGGCCGGTCGTTCCGAGTGGAGCGATATCCCCCGCCGTGCCTCACCATGATGATGCATGTCCATGCCGCCATGATCGGTGCGTCGAGGCCAGCGAATCAAATCGCACCGAATCGGAATCGCCGAATCCCCCGTCGAGCGAACCAGCGCCCGGGCCGGCACGACGCGAAGCTGCCGCACACTCTCGGAGCTCCGCGCGGAGTTTCTCGGATCGGAGCGCGGGTCCCCACCCCCCCCCCCCGACGGCGCCTCCGGCGCCGCACCTGGCGCGCTCCCCAGACATCGGGCGTCTCGAAAAAATCGAGACGGAGGTTTTTCATAGTTTTCGGCCTCTCGGGGCCCTCGCCGGGCCCCGGGACCGTCAAAAAACGACTCGGGACGAAGAACCGGTCCCAGGGAAGTGGTCGGGAGGTCGGGGGCCCGCGTCTCGAAAAAATCGAGACGTCGGATGTCGGGGTCCGCGCGCCAAGGAGGGGCGTCCAGTTCCCACATCAGGGGGCCACATGCGGACCCTACGCCTACCCCCCACGATCTCTGAGGGGGAGGGTGGGGTTCACTTCGCTCGGGAGCTCCCAGACGAAGTGAACCCCACCCTCCCCCTCGGAAATCGTGGGGGGTAGGGGTAGGGTTCGCGTGTCCCCTACACATGGGAGGAGCGGCCCCAGAGATCCGCGCGGGCCTCCGAATGTTTCCGTTTGCGGCAGGCGGCTGGCCAGCTGTGCCGTTCACTTCTGCCTGGCCCCCCGCCCCGAGGCTGCATGCGCGCAGCTCTGGAGCGCGCGCCGAAGCTGCATGCATGCAGCTTCGGCGCCTTCTTCTGCGGGCATCCCAGACGAACGAATTCCCCCCCGCGGGAGCGCGCATCTGATTTTTACCACTGCGCCTTGCCGCAAACCCAGCAGGCCGAGTCGTAACAGCAGCGACGATGATGGGGATGATCCGAGCGACGCACGACAAGAGTTTCCAGCCTCGAACGTATCCCTATCCCTAAGATTGACACGCCAAAAGGCGATGACAATCCTAGGGATTCGCCCCAAAAAATAAGGGAATCCCTAAGATTGGCATCGTGATGAGGAGGTGCCCAGCATAGGGATAGGGAGATGTTCCAGGCTGGTAAAAGGGGGCCGTCCCCGCCGACGCTGGCGCGCAAGCTGCCCGCATAAATAAAGGTCCCGCGTAAGGGTCCTCGGCTCCAGTGTGGCGCGCCACGAGGGCGGCCCGCGTAAGCTGCGGCGTGAGGCCTGCCGTGCCACCTCGCGCAGGACTCGTTTTTGATCCGCGCTCACTTGGTGCACTCGCACCGATCCTGACCAGGCCGGCTCGGGCCCCAGGATCGGCGCGCGTGCCCTCCCTGGCCATGCCAGGGAAGGGGCGCACGAGCACCGATCCCGGGCCCAGGAGGGGGCCGGTCGGGACCTGCGTCGCGAGGAGGGGCGGGGGGAGGGGGGCGCGAGAGGGGGGATGGGCAAGCTAGGTGCGCTCGCGTCATACGTATCTGACGTCCTACCCCTCCCTCACATCCCTTACCATGGCGTAGATCTCCTCTCTATTCGCACAGTCGGATGTCGTAGCAGGGCATAGCATTACATGGCATAGCATGGTGTTGAAGATCAACGCGTAGCCTGCCGCCCCAAAGTGGCGGGGGGCTTCTGCGGCCCAAAGAATCAACGAATCGGCACCGAATGTGTAATCACTTCCGACGGCCGCTTCGGGAGGGCATTTTCTATTTTTGGGGTCCTACTTGGAAGGACCGAAAACCATGCCGTGGTATGGGGCTGGAAATAATGACGCCAGCGCTGCAGCGGGAGCACGATTCGGAACGAGCGGAAGCGCGGAAATAAGGCCAGCGCTGCAGCGGGAGCACGATTCGGAATGAGCGGAAGCGCGGAAATGAAGCCAGCGCTGCAGCGGTAGCACGATTCGGAACGAGCGGAAGCCCGAAAATGAGGCCAGCGCCACAGCGATAGCAGCATTTTGGAAAACATCAAAGGGAAGCGAAAACCCAACTCGCTGACATCCTGTGTGGAAAACGACGCGCGAGGGGGGCCGAATATTCCGAGACAGATTCCGCCGCAGACTCAGGGGAGAGGAGAGTAGCGTTCATGTTGAGTAATTGTCTTGGCATCGCTCGGACGTGTGCATTTTTTCGGCGAGAACCATCGAGGACCATCCTGGACCATCGAGCAAAGAAACACACGCACGAGACCGAAAAATGCACGGGAAGTGGACGTCCGAGCGACGGCAAGTTGTGGAGGGGCTTCGGGGAGGAGAGGGGGGAGTGGGGGAGGGGGGAGAGGCCTCGGGGGAGCGGGGGGGGGCGGCGGGGGAGGCTTCGGGGAGGGGGGGAGAGGGGGGGAGGCCTCGGAGAGGGGGAGAGGCCTCGGGAGCGGGAGAGGCTTCGGGGAGGGGGAGAGGCTTCGGGGAGGGGGGGGGGAGGCCTCAGAGAGGGCCGGGGGAGAGGCGTCGGGCGGGCGGGGAGGCGCCGGGGAGGGGGGGCACGAGAGGGGGAGGGGGGGAGGTTCTCCTCCTCCTCCTCTCCTCCTCCTCCTCCTCCTCCTCCTCCTCCTCCTCCTCCTCCTCCTTCCCGTAGCCATTGTGGCTCAAGACGGAGCTTACCTCCCGTCCCGACTCCAGAGGCTCGAGGACCGAGGTGGAACGGCAGCCCGCCTCAGGCCAGGCTGCCTCGGTCCCAGGCTTCCAGCAACGCACTACCTCAGTTTCTTTCTTCTGCTGGTCGCCGCGGCGAACGGCCAGCACCCAGTCTCCCCTCAGCCATGGGAGGCTACAAGCAGTGGAAGAAATGCTACTGCCAGACGCCCAGCTGCTGGGGCTGGACCTGGCAAGGGCATGGTGGTCACAAGCATTGTTCAGAATGCGGACGCAGTTTCAAGCCTCAGTCGCATCATTCCCGTCCAGCAGGTCACAAATCGGCAGGACATGATGATGGTGGCAGCACCCAGCAGGCCCCCCGCAATCGGTGGTCTCGCAGCCGTGGTGCCTCCCGCGGTCATGAGGCTCAGCAGCAGCAGGATCATGGACCCAAGACGTCCCTCGCTCCCGAGGGAACTGACCCAGCCAAGGACGACGTGGCCATCTGCATTCAGGCTGTCAACTTTTGGAAGAAAACGGTCGGCCAGGAGGGGAAGCAGTACATCCAGGCCTGCGAGGACCTCCGACTGGCCAAGACCAAGGCGCTCGAGGGCAAGTCGCTGGACGCCAAGACCCAGTCGTTGGCCGACCAGCTCCAGCGGCAGAAGCGCAGGCTCGAGTCGAAGAAGGGCGAAGTTGAAAAGAACCTCATCAGCCTGGACAAGGCAGCCGAGGTGTATGACAAGTCCGTGGAATCGTACAAGGAGCTGCTCGCCGAGGTCTCCCAGCTGGAGGCTCAGCACAGCGTGGCAGCGAAGGCAGCAGTGGCGGAGGCGGCTGCTCGCCTCAATGGCCCTGACAACAAGGAAGACACGACCTTGCTCAACTTTGTGGACAGTAGGTTCCCGCAGGGCCTGCCAGCCCACATCAAGCAGGAGCTCGTGGAGGTCAACAAGAAGCTGGAGCAGGAGTGGCAGCAACACCAGCAGCAGCAGCAGCAGCAGCAGCCGCCGCAAGTGCTTCAACCTGGTGCGCCTGATGGAGGTGCTCAACCTGTTGCAGTCCAGACGCCCACTCCACCTGATCGACCTGGAGAAGGGCTTGGGCCTGCTGCAGCCGCCATGGAGGATGACAGCCACCGTGGCGTCATTCGCAAGCACGCGGGGAACGGCGAGCACCTGGTCCTCTCCACCGCCACGGGCATCCAGTGCCTCAGCGAGGAGGCCCAGGGGGCTCAGGACCGCCTCGCCAAGCGCCAGGCCCGCCTTGCCGCTGGCGCACCTGGCGGCACAGGCTCGGGTGAGGCTAAGCCGTTGGATGGGTAACAACCTCAGAACTTGCACGTTCAATTGTAGCAGTTGGTCTGGAGTCCGAAAGCTCATGGTTTCCAA